CCCGTCTGTTTCCAACTGGTGGATGCGCCTCATGCTTCAAGCCCTTCGCCTTTCCGATGCCCTGGTTGATCTCCCGATGATGCTCTACATGGGCGTAACATGTTTTTCGTAATTCGGGGGTGTCACGAAGTTTACGTTACCGATTCTTTCTGGCAGTATCCAGGGGTGCCCTGCTTCAGGAACGACTTCTGTGGTATGAGTGGATCCGTCTGTGTGTGATCTGGACCAGGCAATAGTTTCCGAGTCCTGTGGGGTCGATCGCTTTTGCGCAGATGGATGTCGGGACCGCCATTTGACCGCTCCAGTGCATGGTCCAGATCTTCAGGATTTTCAGCGTGGCTTAGAAGCTGGCCGCTCTCGTTCTCAAGACCTGCAAGTGCAATTTCCTGACGCTGGCGGGACCGTGCTCTGAAGCTCTGGCCAGATAGTAAACTCAGATATTTGCCTCCCTGGTTTCTTCCTGGGCCTCGTTCAAAATCGTCAATCTCTTCCAGTGCCTTGGTATATATCTTGGCCCAGAAACACCTCGAACGTGTACTCCTCGAGGACTGAGTCGTATCCTATGCCGCTCAATTCCGGCCGGCGCCGACTGACCTCCCGCGTTTCGACGCCGCGATGCTTGCGAAGGTCTTGTGTGCGCGCGCGCGCGCGCGCGTGTGTGTGTGTGTGTGTGTGTGTGTGTGTGTGTGTGTGTGTTAGCGCGTTCCGCTAGCGCAGTTCCGTGTTTTTGCACGTGACCTGCCCTCTGCATCCCCCGTCTGCGATGCCAAATGGAAGGAAGTGACGTGGAGCATGCCCATCCATACTTCTCGCTGCAGTTACATTACTCGTCCGCTAGGGACAAAGTGTGCCACCCTTTCCGCGTGCCTGCTAGCGGCTCGTGTTTCCCAAGCTCAATGGCGACGACAGGGGTGTGCAGCCAGGGGCGGCGCGCGTCGTGCTCAGTGTGCTGTTTCCGTTTGTCGCCGTAGTCGCCGTGCGTACTCAGCAGCTTGATGACGCCGGCAAACGCCGTGCTGGGCATTGCGCATGACGGAATACGCCAATCTACGAGCTGCTGCGCGTAGTTTCGCGCCATGCCGTAGGCTGTGACATGGTGGAAACATGTTTTAGAATGTGATTTCGGAACATACGTAGCTCATCAGCTACGGTGGTGATGGCAACGCGAGCGCCGGAGGAACGCCCACTCGAGCAAGGCTCCCGTTCGGCGATCCGATTTGCAACCGACCGAGTGGTTGCCCCCGTGTCGACGAGGAGGTTATCGCCTGGTAGCCGCGTAATTGTCCGTAGGCCGGAAAATGGGCTCGAATCACACGCGACGTCGCGGCAATGGTGGCGCGCCCAGCGTCTCCCCTCCGCGCGGCCCATCCTCCTCTCCTGCTGCTCCTCCCTCATCCTCGTTCCTCCTCGTCTTCTTCCCCCTCCTCCCTCCCCGTTTTGCTCCCCTTCCGCGCTTTTCCCCGCTTTTGTAGTCTCCTCCTCGTCCTCTTTCCTCTTCGTCGCCCTCGCCATCGTCGCCGTCGTCGGCGTTCTTGTTCTCCTCCCCCTCTCCTCGTCCCTCCCGTCGTGGTCGTCGTCCTCCTCCTCCTCCTCCTTGTGTCCCTCCTCTTCCTCCTCCTCCTCGTTTTCGTCCTCCTGGTCCTTGCCGTCCTCCTGGTTCTCGTCGTCCTCCTGTTCATCGTCGTCCTTGTTACCTTCGTCATCGCCTGCGCCGCCACCGCCCAGCGTTTTCGCCACCTGGGCGGCGAAGAGGTGACCAGGCTGACGACGGTGGCAAGGACGACGAGAGCCAGGACAGCGAGGGGGAGGAGTCTCGCAGCCGCCGCCCTGCTTTGCCGCCGTTCCGTGCGGCAAAGAGGTGCTCGAGCTGTTGGCGAAGCTCGACTCGCAGCTGGTGAAGGACGGCGAGGAGGCGGCGCCGCGACCTTTCGCCCATTGCCACGGGCAGGGGGCAGGCCCAAGTCGTTCTCCCGAAAGGAAAGGGGGGACCACGAGGAGGGGGATGATAATGATGATACTGATGATGATGCTGATGATGATGATGATGATGGTGGTGGTGGTGGTGATGATGATGATGGTGGTGGTGGTGGTGATGATGATGATGATGGTGGTGGTGGTGATGATGAGGAGGGATGATGATGATGGTGGTGGTGATGATGATAATGATGATGATGATGTTGATGATGCTGATGTTGATGATGGTGATGATGGTGATGGTGATGACGTTGACAATGACGGTGACGATGACGATGACGATGACGATGCTGCTGATGATGCTGCTGCTGACGATGATGATTCTGAGTATGATGATGAAGATGAGGATGATAATGAGTATAATGATGATGCTGATAATTGGTGATGGTGCTGCTGCTGATGATGCTGATAAAGGTGATGATGATGATCTTGGGGATAAGGATGAGGATGATGATGAGGACGATGATGCTGCTGATGATGATAATGCAGTAGGACGAGGATGAGGAGGAGGAAGATGAAGAAGACGATGATGATGATGATGATGATGATGATGCTGATGATGATGATGATGATGATGATGCTGATGATACTGATGATGATGATGATGATGCTGATGATGATGGTGAGGATGATGATGCCGATGATGATGGTGGTGGTGATGATCATGATATTGATGCTGGCGATGATGATGATGATAGTGATGATGATGATGCTGATGCTGATTATGATGCTGATGATGCTGCTGCTGATGATGCTGATGATGCTGCTGATGATGATGAGGATGATGCTGATGATTATGATGATGCTGCTGCTGCTGCTGCTGATGATGATGATGATGATGATGATGCTGCTGCTGATGATGATGATGATGATGATGATGACGATGACGATGACGATGATGAGGAAGAGGAGGAGGATGAGGATGATGAGGATGATGAGGATGAGGATGAGGATGGTGATGATGATGATGATGATGATGATGATGATGATGATGATGATGATGATGATGAGGACGAGGATGATGAGGATGAGGATGAGGATGATGATGATGATGATGATGATGATGATGATGATGATGATGATGATGATGATGATGATGAGGATGAGGATGAGGATGATGATGATGATGATGATGATGATGATGATGATGATGATGATGATGATGATGATGATGATGATGAGATGATGATGATGATGATGATGATGATGATGAGGAGGAGGAGGAGGAGGAGGAGGAGGAGGAGGAGGAGGAGGAGGAGTGGGATGTGCAGAGATGAGGAGGAGAAGGAGGGCGACGGATGACTATATTCGCTTCGCCCCCCAGGCGGCTGGGCAGGAGGATGAGGAGGGGGATGGGAGGAGGAGGAGCAGAGAGGGAGGAGGAGGAGGAGGAGGAGGAGGAGGAGGAGGAGGAAAAGGAGGGGGAGGAGGAGGAGGAGGAGGAGGAGGAGGAGGAGGAGGAGGAGGAGGAGGAGGAGCAGGAGGAGGTGGAGGAGGAGGAAAAGGACGAGGACTGTGAGACCTTCAGTCCTCATGAGGCTCAGGCTCAGCCCACGTACTTGTCACAAGTACTATGCAAGACCGCGTCGCACAAACAAAATCGACCTGGGGACACACAGTCAGCCCTGAAGAAGGCTGGCATCGCCTTCGCTGGTCTAGCAGCAAGCGAAGGGGCCGCCTGCTGGTACATCACGGCGGAGGCAGATTCGGAGCGTCAAAGGCCGCCAGGGCCGCTCCCATCGCAGCTCGTGTCTGTGGCTGGCTGGCCATCGGCGCGCCGACCCAAGTCTTATATCGGGCGTGTCCCCCTACAGGGGGATTTTCGACGAACATAAAAAAAAGTACCCCAAACATACCCCAAGAATGCAAAAAAATAGTAAAACAGTAGTCCCCGGATTATGTTTTGACTATTTTTCGTTCATGTTTGGCGTATTTTTTTATTTTTCGTCGAAAATTCCCCTGTAGGGGGACAGGCCCGAGTTACAAGTAGCAAGCAGCCTGGGTCGGCAGGCCTTGCAGAAAAAAACAGACCAACCGAGTAGCGTCTGGCGCCGCCGCTCCCCAGGGAACGCTGCCTGCCGAGTCCTCCCCCGAGGGATCACAGGCCCCCGCTGGCGGCCCCCGCGGGAACCCGACTAGCCAGCGGGCTGGCCGCCCGTTCCGCGCCCCTCCCTCGAGGGCCGCGAAGCAACACAACAAGTAAATGCAGGCGAGGTCGCACAAAGAGCGAGGTATCCAGAGCGATGTATCCACACCGCGAAATAACATCACACTCAACCTGGCGAGATCGCTAGAGTACTGAGCGACGGCAGAGCACAAGTTGAAACGCTGGCTTGAGACCGCCCACGGAGGCCAAGCAGAAGGGCCATGGAGCTATCCGGTTGTACGCGCACAGTCTCGAGCAACGACCAGAACTCGCATGCAAGACTGCTACAAAGTGCAACCGCGCAAACAGGGCTTGAATGCTGGAGAGCAATCGTGCGCTCGCCTATGGACCTTAGCATTGTACAACACACAGGAGCGGGCCAAAGGGCACACCTACACCAGATCAGAACAAACAACTACAAATACGCCGAATCGATTCGGTGCAGCCACCGGAACGGGCAAAACGGCACACCAAGAGAAACAAACATGTAGACATGAGTAAGCTGCGTCGAGGGGCTTTAATGGTGAGGCTAAGCCTCGTCTGGGGGTGTCGCCCTGAGACAACCCGCAGACTCACGACAAAATGTCAATTACTCTCCCGTTCGCCGCCCCGTTGATTTCGAAGATCTCCGGCGCACAATGCTTAAGACGGGACGTTTCCCATGGCCACCGATGGAGGTGGGAGGCAGCCATGGTCACGGCGGATGCCGCGTCGAAAGTGTGTTTGTTCGGTCTCGTCGCTGCCAGATTGCCTGCAGCAGCTCAGGCGCGAACTCCACTCGGGTGGTGTGCGTGTGTGATCTGTACGATGTACATCGCGGGTTTTGCGTTCTGCAGTGCAGCAGTGAGAGCATGCGTAGGTGTCTGCTTTAATTTCGTCTCCGAACTGCCACGGGGTCCTTGAGCTGCTACGCGGGCCAGGTGGAATTCATTATGATGCTACTGATATTTATATGGTTATTTTCATTAGTCAGAGACTTCGAGGGTTTTGATAAGTTCATATTGGTAGCGAAGCCTGGCACGGCATGCTCGCACCCATCATATTTCCGTATCGGCAGCGTCGACGAGTTCGACGATTGCAAGAACAGCTTCAGCCGAGAATCTACCTTCAGCGAGGTTCACATCAGAGACGGCAGCAACCTCAGACTCCTACGACGACCTCACGGACGCCTTAAAACCGACAGCTTATCGACTGACTGAACAGCGCGAAGGCTTCAATCATCAAGATGGCGAAGGGCGGCATCGATCGACACCACATCGAATGTTCAGCCCGAGTGAGGAGTGCCTGCATTCTACGCAAAGGTCAGCACATAAAAGGAGTACGGGAAGCGTGCCGCAGTGTTCGTGGCGAAGCTCACATTGGAAAGAATGGGGTCAATCAGATCTCATGGAAGCAGCCGGCCTCATTGGCGACGCGTGGGGCGAGATATAATTCCGTTCGGCGGACGACCCCATCAGGTGGGGAGCAGCCAAACAATTGCGAAGAAGCGCTTCAAGATGGACGCGCGCGCCGAGGTGGCAGACGAACGCCAGGAGTGCTTCTACAGGCTGGAGCGAGAAACGGGCGAGACGTTCTTTGCCTACGTGTGGTGGATCTGAACAGCAGCAGCAACATTGAAAGTCAACGTGCGCGATATCGAGCCGCCGCCGAAGGTCAGAGGCCTGCTAGTTCTACGACGAGGCAGCCACAGTTTAGACCAGTTGAAGATTGTTGTCATGCCAGCATTATCCCACACATCGTCTCTCCCCTTGCATTCCTTCTGCTCCTCTTGCTGATCCCCACTTCCCCCTTGTGTTCCACCCTTCATCCTGCGCCCCCTCCGCCGCCACGCACGCACCACCACCACTCTTCAGCTTTCCCTCTTCCTTCTCCCCCTCGTCCCGCTCCTCATGCTACCTGCGTTCGCTTCCAATCCCCTCTCCACAGCTGATCCCTCCGAGGATGATGGAGGTCAGGGGCGGGAGCGGGGGGCGAAGGAGCGCAGGTTGAAGCAGGATAAGCAACTGCAGCAGGATGAGGACGAGGAGGGGACGGCGTCGTTTCCTCCCACCTCCTTGACCCCATTCCCCCCTCATTTCTGTCATCTTCCCCTCCCTCCATGATCTGATTCTTCTCTTTAGGTAGGCTCCACCTCCATTCATTTTCCTTATATATCCTCCCTGTCGCACCCGAGGCCTGTCGAAATGGCGGGTCGGGCGTTTCGCCTGAGACTTCCTCACCGTCTATGACCCTGAAGCTCGAACCATGGCAGCAGTTTCACACATAGAGGGCAGGTCGCTTCTAAGATGTGGCTTCGCCTTCGCGCCGCGCATATTAGTTTTGAACATTAAGAGTTTCACTGATTGAGGGCGTGCGGCTTTCAAAATTCGCGCACATTCGCTTGAAGCATTTGCAAGAGCTTCACGGATTGAGGGCGGGTGGTTTTCAAATTGTGGCTCTCGCCTTAGCGCCGCGCACATTCGTCTTAAACATTTGCAAGGGTTTCGCGGATTGAGGGTGGTTCGTTTTCAAAATGTGGCTTTCTCTCTGGCGCCGCGCACATTCGTTTTAAATATTTGCACGAGTTTCACGGGTTCCCATGGTCAGCTCACCAGAAACTGTGTTTTGGAAGGATTCAGGATTGTGAGGGTGCAACAATTACGTTGGTTCGCGGTGTTGAAGTCCCAGGAACGGTGTTCTGGCAAGATTCAGGATTGTCAAGACGCAACAGTCACGCTGATCCGTGGCGTTGGAGTCCCGAGAATGGTGTTTTGGCATGCTTCAGGGTCTTCAAACGGCTGTCTCCCAACGAGGCAGTTTTTTCAATGGAAATGAACCCTTGTAGGGGACTATGAAGAAGGAAGTTGGAGAGAGGGTTCATTCCAACATCGTCGATGAGTCTTGGGTTTGCACCCCTCACCTCTCCCCCACTCCGGAGGAACCTGGTCCTGCTGCAGCCGCCCGTTGGGCTGGAGACCGAAGCCGCACGAATCATCTTTCACCAGTCCACTCACGCTACAGAAGGCGACACTCAGCATTTTAAACCAATCCCTATACCCATTGGGCCATGGCATCTCAGCCCCCCCCCAGTTCACCCTCGCAGTTAGGTATAGGCCCAGCGAAACCCGAAGGGAACAGCAGATGTTCCCATCGAGGTACATTGGTCAGTTGGGCAAATGCCATGCCACCTCCTCCTCCTCCTCCTCCTCCTCCTCCTCCTCCTCCCCCTTCTTGGTACTCCTCTCTTCGAAGATCTCCCTCTCCTCACCGGGCGACCGCGGCCAGGCGGACAAAGCCCACGCCGAGTACCAGGACTGGTGCAAGTTTGGCAAGAAGGACGCCGCGCGCGTCGGCGCCGTGTCGGTGGCGTCGTCGTCGGCGTCGGGATCGGCCCCGTTGTTCTCCTGCGCCTACTGCGTCCCGCCACCACTTATTCGATTGATGCCGCGAATACATGTTCTAGACGCTCCGCATAGCCCCCCCAGCCCATCCAGAATCGATGCCGAGACGAGTTGCCCTGATCAGGGATGTGGAGTAGCATGTAATGGTATAGAGGGCTTGACAAAACTTCGTCCCCAAGATGGGGATGGAGGAGGAAGCGGAGGAGGAGCAGGAGGAAGAGGAGAAGGAGGAGGAGGTGGAGGAGGAGGAGGAGGAGGAGGACGAGGAGGCGAGGAGGAGGAGGAGGATGCGGAGGAGGAGGGAGGAGGAGGAGGCGGAGGCGGAGGAGGAGGAGGAAGAGGTGGAGGAGGAGGAGGAAGATGAAGAGGAGGAGGAGAAGGAGGAGGAAGATGGTGATGGTGATGGTGATGGTGATGGTGATGGTGATGGTGATGGTGATGATGATGATGATGATGATGATGATGATGATGATGATGATGATGATGATGACGATGACGATGGCGATGACGATGACGATGATGATGATGATGATTATTATGATGATGATGATGATGATGATGATGATGATGATGCTGATGCTGATGCTGATGCTGATGCTGATGCTGATGCTGTTGATGATGATGGATGATGATGATGATGACGATGATGATGATGATGATGATGATGATGATGATGATGATGATGATGATGATGCTGATGATGATGATGATGATGATGATGATGATGATGATGATGAGGAGCAGGCGGATTATGATCATGCGGATGATGAGGATGATGATGATGATGATGATGATGATGATGATGATGATGATGATGATGATGATGATGATGATGAGAAGGAGGAGGAGGAGGAGGAAGAGGAGGAGGAGGGCCTGCAGAAAGGCCAGAGGCTTCTTGAATGCCACTCGGAGTCTCTTCGGTTTTTGTTCGAGTGGGTCTTGGTGTCCTCTTAGGGCGTCTCAGAGGTCTCTTGGTAGTCTCGGGGGTCTCTTGAGACGTCTTGTGTGCCCCTGTGGGGCCTCTTGGGGCCTCTGGGGGGTCTTGTGGGAGCCTCCTTCGGGCTTCTTGGGGCCTTCTGAACACCTCTTGGGGCCGTCTTGGGGCACCCTTGGGAACCTCGGGGGCCATCGTTAGGCCATCTTGGAATTTATCGATCAACGGAGGGGGGCTTCTTACTTTGGGTGCCCCCGCAGGAAAACAACATGTACCACCAAGTATGTTGGCCTCCTCGCCGAAGTCCCTTGGGGCGTCTTGGATGCCCGTGGGTGGCCTTTTGGGGCCCCTTGGGGGCGTTGTGGGAGCCTCTTGGGGGCATCTTGGGGAGCCTCGCGGGGGCCTCTTTGGGCCTTCTCGACACCTCTTGGTGGGACACCCTCGGGAGCCTCGGGGGCCATATTTAAGGAGATCGATCAGATGACGGGAGCTCCTTGGTCATGCCCCCCCGTCCCCCCCAGGAGGCCAACATGTGGCCAACGCAGTAGTACAAACAGTGACTTTCGCTTCCCCGCTGAGGCCGTCTTGGACGCTCTAACCCCTGGTGACCCCCCTCCGCCCAGACCCAGGGGGAGGCAGTATGAGCAGGGGTGAACCCCTTCCCGAAGGGGACGAAGGGGGTCGGAAGTGGAGACTCGCTAAACCACTAACGCCCTAAAAGGACGGGTGGGATTCACACGATATCTAATCGCGTCGCAACCAGCCAAGCTCCGCTGCAGATCCGTCAGAGAAATCTAACCAGTTCACGTCGCTGGAGGAGGAGGCGGGCGACGAGGAAGGGCATTCGTCTTCTCTGCGTCCTCGTCCTGTCAGGACGAAGGATCGTGCTCGCCCCCGTCTAGCTCGTCATCGGCCTCATCGCTCCCCCGCTGCCAGGACCTCGAGTACCAGAAGAAGACGTCCACCAGCGAGATTGATGAACTCACCGCCACGATCGAGAAGTCCAAGTCCGACGTCGTGTCGGAGACCACCAGGAGAAGACGGGCTCGACCGTCGCACCCACGTTGCCGAAGGGAAAGGGGGAGGAAGCGGAGGTGGAGGAGGAGGATGAGGAGGATGATGATGAGGAGGAGGAGGACGAGGAAGCGGAGGATAAGGAGGAGGAGGAGGAGGACACATCTTACGAATAATATGGCTAAGACGACAAACAATAGTACTAATACTATATGGATTATGGATCATACCGCGAACAAGACGAAAACGAATCATACAATTACTACTTATGCGTAACTGTAATCAGAATAATCAGACTACCCAGACGACTACTACTAATACTAATGCTCCAAAGACGAATACGACCACTAAGCCATACCTATGAACAATACGAGTCCTAACATTCATAATACACATGATAGATATTATTAATGGTCATATCATTAATCAGAGTGAGGGGGCTGAACCGAACGGTCATTCACTGTCCCTGGGTGCGTGGCTGAAGTGGAATTCCGCGATGCGGATTGTTGTTGTTGTTGTTGTTGTTGTTGTTGTTGTTGTTGGTGTTGTTTT